CCATTTAATGTGTTTAAATGATGAACACGTGTGTCTTTCAAGTGTTTGAAGTGTGTTTGAGTGTGATTTAAAATAAAAGACATGTTTGGATGCAGGTGCAACATGTGTCAGGAAATGTCTGACGGGTGTCAGTGTTCGACACGAACACACCACCTTCTTAGAAGTGTTCGTGTTTATTAGCACAAGCATATTATGTATTTCTAGTTATGTGAAGAATTAAGAAAGATAAATTAGATACATAATTTACCTTTGAGTTTTTTTGCTCTTCTTTACTTTTTGGGTTACCTACTTTGTGTAGTTCCTTTGTTTATGTGCCCTTACAGGTTTGTTCCTTTTTGCTTTGTATCTCAATGCCCCTGCTTCTCTCTCTCAATTTCTTAAATGAATCTATGCTTGTCTATTTTCACTTCTTCTACTACTGGCTTGTGGTGATTTTGGGGTTCTCTGCAAAATGGCCTGCTGGCCATCCAACCAACCAAAAAAAAAGCATAAAGTTATTGGCAAGTGGTTCTTTTTACTATATTTCTGTGTTTAGATTTTGAATTCGAGGATAGATACAATAATGTGATCAAGAAAAGTAACACCAATGACTCACTTAATTATTTGTTGGATTAATTTGATACATATAATTTAAGATATTCATGAATCAAGTTTCGGGAGTCTGACCTCTAGTTCTCCATCCTTCCCAAAAAATTAATAAATGCATGATAACAAATACTAAATATAGTGCATTTTATTTGTTATGATATTAAAGTTTTCAAAGACTCATGGTATGTATAAACTTATGATCAGTACATATCCATATTAAAAGGGCAAAAATAAATATTTATTTATTTTATTTTGGAAAGTAAAGGGAAAGAAAAGAATAAACATAGGTTTGATTGTTTAAACTTATGCAAATTATTGCATATAAGTTGTCCCATATAAGCTTTTGGGCAAACTAGATAAGTGAGATTGTCGATTGAAATGCTTGTCCTCTTTGAAATTTATATATCAAAAAAAGGAAAAGAAAAGGTAACAACTTGTTTTTGGAGCAAGAGATTAGTAAAATACATAAAATGCCCTTGTTTTGTTTGTTTGTTTAGTTGTTGATAGAACAATTGAAATTTGATATTTTTACAATCAAGTATAGTCACACCAATATATGATCTAGCTGCAGATTTGATAAAATTGGTGTTGTTCATATGTCAGAGTAGAGTATTACAAGTCTGGGAGCAAAAATTAGACCGGATCAACATGGAGGCCTACGTTGGTCAAATGAGAGAAAACAACCAAGAGGGTCTCAATCTTTACAAGAAAGAACAATAACCCAGAAAACTATCTAACATTCTTGACAGAGCGAGCAGTTACTTTTGTCAAGCATGTTAGATAGTTTTATGGGTTATTGTTCTTTCTTGTAAAAATTGAGACCCTCTTGGCTGTTTTCTCTCATTTGACCAACGTAGGCCTCCATGTTGATCCGGTCTAATTTTTTCTCCCAGACTAGTAATACTCTACTCTGACATATGAACAACACCAATTTTATCAAATCTGCAGCTACTTTCATGTTCATTTTTCTATTTGAGTGACGAAATGCATAATTTGCTTACATTTGCTTGTTGGGATTTATGCATGTGTAGAAGGATATACTATCTACTCTAAAAAATTGCAATCATGAATCATGATGCTTTATTGAGTTGACTTGTTATTTTCACAACACACAGTAGTGGACTCCATGTCTCTCAATATTCCCATGTGCCTATTATATTTGATACCAGTGGAATTTGGTAAGGTCCTTAGAGTACAATTTAAAAAAATTTAAAGTCTAATTCATTTAATGGAGTCATGTTTTCTCTTTTGTGTGTGTGTATGTGTGCATCTCTCTGGATGTGTGTGTGTAAAAAGTTTTTAAAGGACTTAGTGCTCATGATGTGCTATGCTATATCGACATTTACAAGTCTTGGGGACTTGATATCTTAGTTTACTCAGGGATATTCCTTTCAAGTTCTTTCTGATGTGGTTTTACAATTTTCAGTAAGTGACAATCTACACTAACTTTGGTTTGCCTTCAACATTCCTTTCTTTGAATTAGATCTCTACAAATTTGCTTCTTATTGGATGTGTTTGGTAGATTAAGTACCCTGTGTCCTTGTCTTTTGAACTTTGTTTTTTGAAGAAAATATAATAACCATATTATGCTTACTTTTGCTGGTAGACTATTCATTGTTGGGTTTTGTAAATCTTACAGAGTTCAAAAGACAAGGACACAAGGTACTCGACACAAACTGTCAACCTTTCTTGCTAAGTTCGTTTCTTACCTTTTTATGGGATTGCTTTTGCGCCAAAATAACCATGGGGTTGTGTCTAGTGTTGAATTCATTTGTTGTTCCTTTAGTAAAGGAAAGCTATTTTCGCTCCCTGTTTCTACTATTATCCCAGGTTTTGTGGGCTTCAAAGAAGTTGGAAATTATCAAGTTCTGAAGTTACTAGTTATGTGAAGAATTAAGAAAGATAAATTAGATACATAATTTACCTTTGAGTTTTTTTGCTCTTCTTTACTTTTTGGGTTACCTACTTTGTGTAGTTCCTTAGTTTATTTCAGTTAAGATATTATTGTAACAAAGGGGAATAGTACCGGTTGAATCTGTTCCACCTCAAACACAAGCCACCCCTCATCAAAGTTCTATTTCTACCTTTCTCTACACCATGGCTATGCTCCCCGACCCTTCTACAACTTTTGCACTGCTTCACCTAAGCACTGACATTGAATCCGAAACTATGGACCTAGCTCTACCATCTATCCATATAATGAGCCTAGAAACATGCTCCTCCCAAACAGATCAAATTATTGAAGAAATGGATGAAACTTCTGTCTAAGAATATGCATTTAATGATAATGGTGCATAAAATATGGGAGATGGCCTTTTATTTTCTGACTACTCGTATACCTTAAAATTGTTCTATTTCAACTAGTGTCAAATCAAAGCTATTCGTGGTTCCACCCCAACTTGAGCATCCTCATTATGGTAAGTACATAAATGACAAATCTTTGCATCTATTGTTAGGAGGCCTATGAGTCTATGACTAAGAGTGTAAATCTTATGATCAAGTTGCATGACAGGAAGTAAATGTATAGGTTCATTAATAGAAAATTTAGATGCAGTGGCTGGATGTAATTTGTGCTAGGGCTTTTTAGGAGAGCTGAAAACCCCTTTTAGATAAACATAGAAGTTTCATCAAAGAGGGGGTATTGATTGGTCTAGTGGTAAATGCTTGAGTTCCTGTGTATGAAAATATTGGTTGGAATTGAAAATGTAGTCCCTTCCACAAATATTATAGAGGTTAGGCCTGTAGCCACCCTTAGTCCTTCCCTATGCCCTTAATTTGTAGGAGCCCATTACCTAATGTCCTTTAAGAAAGATATTGGAATGAATTGAAATAGTACATTGCCATGCCAACTGCCTTTTACCATTTAACAGACATTAAAAATATATATATTTTCTTGTTTTTTTGTTGATAAATGTAAAAAACACTTAACTTAATACATAATATATGCAGATATAATAGAATTTTAAAGGATTTGTTGCTCGAAACCTTGATACAAAATTAAAAAAGCCTATAGGTAGATGCACCTTTATTGACGATGATGTGTCACTCTACACTTATATTAACTACTTTGTCTTCATGTTTGAAGAATAAATAAATAAATAATAATAATAAAAAATAAAAGGTTGTGTCCTATTGATATTAACTACTATCTTATGATCAGACATGGATGGGAGTTGGATGTTAATTTTTGATAGATTCAGTCAGCCATATGTAGATGGGGTGAACTCATTTATTGAATTTGCAAAGGTTCATTTGGGTGAGGCTAGGGAGATTAAGTGCCCATGCATGAATTGTTGTAACTTTTATAAGCAGGAGTATGATAGTGTGAAGGCTCATTTGCTCATAAGTGGGATGATAGTATCATACACCACTTGGTTAGAATACGGTGAACTTCCAGAACACAATAACCTTGATGAAAGCAATGGTGAGAATGACGAGGATGAAGATGAATATGATGAACTGATAGAGGACTATCAGAGGGGGAATTTTATGGAGGGTGATACTCTAGAAAGAGAGGATGTACGACATTTTGATAAATTGTTAGATGCTTCCCAATGTTGCTTGTACCCAGGTTGCAAAAACTCGGATACTTTGTTATCATTCGTTATTCAGATGCTACATGTGAAGGTAGAAAATAGGTGGAGCAATAAGTCTTTTGACAAGATTTTGGAGATACAAAGGCGATTCCTACCAGAAGGCCACGTGGTGCCAGGGTCAATTTACGAGTGCAAGAAGTTACTACGCGACTTGGGCTTGGGGTACGAACTCATCAATGCATGTAAACATGATTGTGTACTATTCTGGAAGGAGAATGCTCACTTGGAAAAATGTCCCACATGTCAAGCATCTAGGTACAGAGTAAATGATAGCAAGGGTAAGAAGATCCCTCACAAGATATTGCGTTACTTCCCATTGACACCTAAGTTGAGAAGATTGTACATGTCTGGGAAGACGGCAAAAGACATGAGATAGCATAGTGATAAGCATGTGGATGATGGTGTAGGGAGGCATCCGGCTGATTGTAAAGGGTGGAAGGAATTTGATTTGCATTATCCAAAGTTTGCCGAGGAGACTCGCAATGTTAGGTTGGGCCTAGCCATCGATGGGTTCAACCCTTTTGGGAACATAAGCACTTCCTATAGCATGTGGCGTGTCATACTCATGCCCTATAACCTCCCACCTTAGAGATGTATGAAGGCCCCATTTTTCATGATGTCCTTACTTATTCCTGGTTGTAATCAACCAGGGACTGATATTGATGTCTACCTAAGGCCATTAATTGATGAGTTGAAGGAGTTGTGGGAGAATGGCGTGATGACTTACGATGCCTCCACTGAACAGACCTTCTGGATGCATGCAGCTGTAATGTGGACCCTAAATGACTTCCCTGCATATGGTGACTTATCCAGATGGAGAACTAAAGGCCATTTGCCTTGCCCTCCTTGTAATGATAATCCATAGTCACGCGGGTTGATCAGTAAGATTGGGTGGGTGGGTCATCGAGCTTACTTGCCTGATAACCACCTTTGGAGGAAAGACAAGAAGTTTGATGGTTTAACTGAGCTTAGAAAGAAATCCTTGGATTTACTGGTGGAAAAAGTAATGGCTCAATTGGATCAATGGCGGGAAGTCAAGTTTGGAAAGGATCCTACAAACAAGAAAAGACCACGAGAGTTTGAAGAATTGAATTGGACAAAGAAAAGCATAATGTGGGAGCTAACGTATTGGAAGAAATTAAACCTCCAACACAATCTTGATGTCATGCACATTGAGAAGAATATTTGTGAAAACTTTTATGGGATGATGTTGGCCATAGATGGGAAAAACAAGGACACATACAAAGCACGTGATGATTTGCAAGAAATGGGCATAAGGCAAGAATTGCATCTACAGAGGAAAGATAACAGATCCGTTGTAAAGCCTCGGGCAGCCTACACATTGGATTCTTGACAAATAGATGGTTTTTGCGAATTCTTGAAGTCTATTAGTTATCCAGATGGTTATACAGCAAACATCTCAAGATGTGTGACTTCTAAAAATGGAAGATTATCGGGCATGAAAAGCCATGATTGTCATGTCCTGCTTCAGCGACTTCTACCAATTGGCATGCGTGGTTTTGTGAACAAGGAGATATGTACAACACTATTTGAGTTGGGCAACTTCTTCTAAGAACTGTGCTAAAAAACATTAAGGCAGACTGATTTGGAAAAAATGAAGGAACGAATTGTGCTCATACTTTGCAAGTTGGAGAAAATTTTTCCTCCAGCTTTCTTTGATGTGATGGTCCATTTGGCTGTTCACTTGCCCCGTGAGGCCATGTTTGCTGGACCGGTGCAATATCGATGGATGTACCTGATCGAAAGGTAATCATTATGAACATATGGTTATTTATTAATTTGTTATAACTAAACTATTGTGCAAAAATCCATCCATAAAAGACTATTGTTTAAGAAGTAATTTTCTTGCATCAAGAAGCATAATTTTCATTGTCAATTTTTGTTGAAGGTTTCTCGGGACTTTGAAAGGGTATGTCAGTAATAGAGCACGTGCAGAAGGTTTTATCGCTGAGGCTTACATTGTCAAAGAGTGTCTTACTTTTTGTTCAATGTACTTAAAAGGGATTGATAAACCTGAACGAAATGATGATGGTGGTGAACGTGATCCCAGGATGGAGGTCTTCACCCAAAATGCTCGTCTATTCTCACCTATACAAGGGCTTTTGACCCTTCACAAAATGAACGAGAAATGGCTCGCTGGTTTGTGTTGTACAATAGCTCTGAGGTGGAGCCATATATTGAGTATGTATTTAAGTTTAATTACGTTTATGCATAATCGTTCCATTTTGTTTCGAACTCTCAAAGTTAATTACGTATATCACATTTCCTTGGGTAGGGAGCAGAAGAATATTTTACATAATCTACAAGGACATGACATAACTCGGGTACAACGAGAAGAATTTCCAAAATGGTTCAAAAATCGTGTAAAATATACTAAAGAAAATAACTGAATAGAATTGTTGAAACTTTCAATTCACATTAACTTAGTACACTTGTTATATAGTGTTTTATGTAGATGAATGATTTGCGAACGAAAGGGTCACCTGAAGCAACTGACGAATTGTGGTCATTAGCAAATGGTTCTGGATCGGTAATTGACTTTTATTCTGGGTGCATCTATAATGGAATTTGATTCCATACTAGAAACCGTGAAAATCGTTGTACCTGCCAAAATAGTGGGTTGGTCGTAGAAGGGGACCATAATGGGAACCAAGTTAATTTTTACGGCTACTTGTGCAAAATATGGGAATTGAAATACTTGCATGGGGGTACAGTGGTTTTGTTCCAATGTGAATGGTATGACACCGGTCACAAGAATAGAATATACTCCGATGAACATGTCACAAGTATTGATGTTACAAGACTTTGGTATGAAGATGACCAATTTGTTCTACCTAGTCAAGTAAGACAAGTATTCTACGTCAATGATACCAACAAAGGCAAAAATTGGAGAGTCATTGAACATGTTAAGCATCGGGGAGTATGGGATATACCAGAGCAGGATGATGTCTCTAATGATGCTTTTCAACAGGATGAAACCACTGATGGTGTTGGGGTAGTGATCCAAGATAATGATGTTCAATACAGCAGGGATGATATGGATCCTGAGATCATGTTCAATGATCAACTAATGGCAGAGAATTTAGTTCACAATGATGACGAGGATGACACAATCATAGAGTATAATGATGATGAAGATAATGAACTGCATAGACAACCTGATGTTGATGCAGATCCTGATATAGATCTTGATATAGATTATGATATGTAGTGTTTGATATAGATCTTGATATAGATTATGATATGTAGTGTTTGATTTTTAATTATATGGGCAAGTGTTATAATTTAATAATAAATTGCTTGGTTTACATTGCATGGCATTATTTTTCAAATTTCATAGCATTGTTTCTTATTTCATTTCATTTAATTATATACCATATGTACAGTTACAAAGATGTCCAGAAATGGTAAATCATTTCTGAAGCCCAGCGGCTTAGTCCAGAAGATGACGAAATATGAGAATGATAGGAAAAAAACAATCCAGAAAAATAATATCAGATTTGATGCTCTAGGGATAAAGTCCCTCAAGAATTCAATGTTTGGTTCTATTGAAAAGGACAATAGTGAAAGTTGTAGGGTGGGAAAGAGAAAGGTGGGTGAAAGTGATAATGACGAGGACTATCAACCACTTGATGATGATGAAGGACTGAGTTTTTCAAGTGATAATGGCGAGCCTTTCGATTCTCAAGTGATTGAGGTAATAAATGTGTGTTTAAAAAGTAATTTCTCTATTTTTTTCACTTGTTATATTACTTGTGGTATGTTTAGTTATTTCAAATTTATTTTTTATTAAGCAACCTTAAATTATTGAAAATGTACTAACAATTCTTTTTTATATTATGTCAGGATATTCATATGGGTCTCAGTAAAAAGACAAATAGGTGTGCAGCTCGCCTAATAGCTTCACAAACACCTAGGGAAAAGAGAAGTATTGTTGATGAAGATACACCTACTCTTCCGAGACGACCTGTAGCTGCACAAGTTAATCATTCAGAGAGCACACCTGAGGTCTCGACCCAACCTGTCCATCTTCCCGCCTTACATACTAGGCCCGATCAGCTCCCTACCTCCGCCACTCAACTTGACCACCTTTCAAGTCCATGTACTGTGACTAACAGTGGAGGTGAGAAATAAATGACCACTTAAATGAAATGCTAATTTCTTATCTCAATATTTATTTAGTGCATTCATGTTTTATGTCGACTAAATTGAATAAAATTTTGGTCATAATAGCATCAATTCCAGTTTTGGACAAGAAACGTGTACGAGGACCGACCCGAAGAAAGAATGTGGAGAAGATTAGAAAGGAGCGTGGTGATCGAATACCCGTTACACTTAACTGTTTGACCAAAGCAATAGAAGGGGATTATGCCACACCGCTAGCAGCTGCTCTTGGTCAACAAATTTGAGTTCATGCCCCAATCCGAAATGATGGATGGCTAGAAATTGCCTTTGGGTTAAAAGAGTCCATTGTTACAAGAGTTGGGGTAATTTGAAATATATGTGTTATATATTTAACATGTTATTTATGTTAATCGCAATGATATATAAAATATATTGATTTTTATTATTTCCAATTGCAGCAAACTTTTGACTTTGAGGACTACAATAATGATGTGGATGTGAGATGTATTATTGATCATAAGTGCCAAACTTTGTACAGTGAATGGAAAACTAGATTACACACAAACTACAAATCCCTTAAAGAAGACAATGTATCTAACCTCAAAAGTCAGATACTATATCCTTGTACAAAGGATGATTGGGAATGAATGATTGACAATCTGTGGGAAACTGATGATTGGAAGGTATTTATAAAAATATTTACTAAAGTAACATCCTCCTTTATATCAATACCTAATTTTTTTTTTATTTGTAGGTAAAGTTAGAGAATGCGATGAAAGCGAGAGGTTGTGTGAAGTATAATCATACGAGCGGCTCAAGATCATTTGCATCGCGAGCATCTATCATTGTAAGTGTAGATTTACAAATTTGAACATACTAAATTATAAATACAAAATTATTGATCGACTAGAAAATCTAATGAAATGAAAGGTACAAGGAAGCAAACCGACTATTACGAAACTATTCGAGGACACCCACAAACGTCACCGACATGGGGGAGTGTGGATAAATAACACAGCTGAGGAACATCATGTAACCATAACTATTTCAATTTCAATAATAAATGTTGGCATTTTGATATTATGTTTTAAGCTTATTTATGTTTCATTCATAGGCCACTATGGTTTCAAAGATCGCTAAGCAATCTCAACCTAGTGTCACACACCCATTGTTTGAGGAGCAAATTTCCAAGGAAGTACTTGGGAAGAGGTCGGTCTACTTGAAGGGATACGGGGTCCGCAAGGACAGTACTTCATCTTCTACACATTTTGAGGCTCCTAACTCCGAGGTGATTGTTCTTCAACAGCAGTTAGTTTACCAGCGACAACAATTAGCTGACCAAGGAAAGCAGTTACTTGACCAGGCTCAAAACATGAGTACAATGCAAACTATCGTTCAAATGTTGGCAGCAAAAAATGGGATAGATCTAGCAAACATTCCGGGGTTAGTTCCAAGCAACAATGTCGGGGAGGATGCATCGGGTGTAAGGGAGGATGAAACTTCTCTCGGTTGAAATAGAGGTAAATTTGACCTCATTAAATTGATTTACTTTATTTAACCAATCCTAACATATGTCAACAATATAAAATTATATAAATTTTGTATTACAATCCTAGCATTACAACCTTTGTATATAATAGCTTGATAAAACAATAGCTTCACAACAATTTTTTGATTAATTTTAACTATATTTGTATATTATTGTTGAAGTTAATGCATTAATAAAATACTCATGTTTTTATCCTTTTGTTCACAGGTTGGAGCTGGATGTTCGTGGTTCAATAGTGATATATATCGTTTTGTACGTTGGCATTCCTTTAATTTTTCTTTGTTTCATTTTATAGGTTTTTCTGTTGAATGTTTATATACTTTTTGGAATTATTATATTTGGGATTGTTGGATATAGTTAGACGCATTTTAGGATTCTTATGTTTAGTATTATTAGATATTTGAATAAAATTTGGGATATTGAAATGCATTTGATATTAATTTGGTTACATTACTAATTGTTATGATGTGTTTAGTTTAGTTTTTACTCAATGTTATGTAAAGGTTTTTCTTGTATGTTTTACAAAGAAATACAGGTTACTTAGAAATACACGTTCAGGAAGTGGATCAATTAGGGTTTAGGTGTAGTATGAATTGCTAAGTAATAATAGGTCATGGGAAGCTAAGATTGAATTTGTTTTAGATGGTTAGGCTAACAATATTTTAATCATCAGGAAAAAAGTATAGGGTGTCAATGTGTCTTATTTTATCTTGCATTTTTTATATTCATTTGTAGTAACTTGTTTTCAAATTCATTTTTTGTTCCCAAAAGAAAGAAAAAATGGCTTCATCTTTAATAGTATATATGTGGCTCCTTTTGGTTACATAATAGTATATATGTTGAGCAACAGTGGACTTGCTTCTTGTGAGTTAGAATATCTGCAAGGAGACATCAGATGGACCGGAATCTCGATTGAAGGGATGTTCATCCATCATTCATTTCGTGCTGGATTCCATTACCTTCAGGAAGGCTTCTAATATGCTTTACTGTGACATTCCTTCCTTTTAGCCAATGGAAATTTATGTTGACGACGAGGCGAAATTGACCCTTCATGGTCTTGTACATGTATTGCTTTGGAAGTTTGGTTTTTGGTCTTTACCTTATTTTTAACCATTGTCTTACCTCTCAATTTTATCCATTATCATTTGGTCATGAAGAAGTTGACAGTGTTATATGGTTCTTTATCCCTTTTCTACTAGAGAGGATACAATATTTAGCTTATGATTTCTACATTTTTTTAAGGTTGGCCTAATGTGCTGTGATATGTATGGCATTGTTGTTTTTACTGGTTATTCTTATTCATGTTAGGTATTTAGATGTTTGGGACATTTTCTTTGGACCCAATTTTTTGCAGTTTGTTATTAGCTTGAGTGATATCTCCTATTATGAAAAATATAGAGAGAAAAGGAAAACAAATAAACAAAGAAATGAAGGGGAAAAAAGGGTTTCAGATTACATAATTGTGTCTTTTTTACATCCTGGAGTTCATTCCACTGAAATCCAATGTTGGTCATGTGATTCCTCTACGCGTGAGAAGAATACATGATTCAGTTTAGTTGAACACCTGAATATGGGCACTTTTAGTTGCACACCTGAATAAGGGTATTTAAATTGGTTCCAATCTGTGGGAGAGTCCAATGAGTTATGTTACTTCTGTTAGTGATTTAAAATGAGAATTAACAATATGTCCCCCAATATATATTATATAAGTATATATATCCAAAATTGTGATTTTATTTTCCAAAATGTAAAATTGTAATTCAACTATATATATATGCAGGTTTGTGAGTGAAACTGTACATGCCAAACCAAAAAAGAACTAATAAGGATATACACGTGTTTTTATGAATGTGATTTATCACAAGCTCATATCTGCATGTCCACGTGAGGACATTTGGGGCAAAAACATTGTTGAATTTCTTTTAATCATTAGTATGCATAATATTAAACAGCAGTCTATGGATTTGCTTAAGCATGATTTATGGTTTTGTAGTTTGAGTCTCTTTATTGTTCTTTACTTATTTGAAGCTTTATGATGTATGGGGTTTCTTCAATTTTTTTTACCATTACTTCAACGCATCTCCATTTTCGTAACTTCTATTGCTTGCAGATTCAAACTTTAGGAATGCTAAGGTCCAGATTTCAAACATTGCCTGCTGCTTTTAATGCCTGTTTAATTCCGGAGGAAAAGAGTGAGCCAACAAAAAAGAAAGGACTGCTGAAGTCCACTTTTTCTCGGAACTTTGCTCAGGTTATTTCATTTGCTACTCTCTAGAAAATATGGAAATTCCTTTCCCTCAATTTTATTTATCTAATAAATTTTTTCAGATCCCATCAAGCAATGAAAAAGCAGCAGCAAGATTTGCTCAGTTATGGAACACAATAATCAGCAGTTTTAGAGAGGAGGATCTTATAAGTAATAGGTAGTCATGGGTGTGAAACTTTGCACAATAATACACACCTATTTTTTTTTTATGTTGTTTGACTCCTACAATCTAACCTTTTTATGTGTCCTAACATGTGTTGAGAATTCTTTTTTTTTTTTCTTCTAAATCTTATTGTATTCTGCTGTAGTATGTATAACTTTGTATCATTTCCAGGGAAATGAACCTGTTGCTTGTTCCATATTGGGCTGACCGTGAGTTAGACCTCATACAATGGCCTCCATTTTTGCTTGCTAGCAAGGTTTGTCACATGGTTCAAATTTGTTTAAAATGGAAGTGTTACAAAAATGGAAGTATTGTAATAGTATATAACATGATATCCAATTTTATTTATTTATTTATTTATTCAATAAATTTGACCTAAGAGCAAATAGATATAAGTTAATATTCAAAGAATCAATTGAGAAAATAATGAAAGCTTGTCAATAAAAAAAAGTAATGAAAGTTTGAAAAAAGGAAAAGACAGAGAGAAGTAAGGTCATTTTAACCTTGAGAGCAACTCAAGTCTTGTAGAACTTGAAAATTGGACATTCAAAACATGTCAATCTAAGACTTTTGCTAAAGTTTTATTTATTTATTTATTTTTGGGGTGCGAATTTAACAGCTAGAAAAAGAAAATAGAGAAAAATAGCCTAATACAAAATTTATAATATAAAAAAAAAAGTGCAACGGTCGTAATGGTGTTGTAACGGGGACTACGGCCTTTACATAACTGTGGTGGCTGTTACGGCTGTGAATTTCTATCACACCGCTATAGCGGCCATAACGGGTGGTGGTAACCATTGAAACCATTATGTATGGTTACGGTTGCGTTTTAAAAACATGTTTGAGAATAATTTTGATCATTCGAAGTAGAGAAATTCTACAGGGACAGGCAAGTGTATCATTGGATTGGCTTGCAAAGATAGGGAATTTTTTTGCAGAAGGTCTCGAGTAGCTGCTTTCTGATTCACTTAATAAACTTATTATCTGATGATCAGTGGGTGGAAGCAACGTGCAAGTCTCTGGTCATATTAGTAGCTGTGATGGAATCTTTGAGAACTTACTAAACTTTGTCTCAAGGGTAACACGATTTAACATAATTTTTTGATGACTATATATGTCTTTTGGCTAGATCCCAATAGCGTTGGACATGGCTAAGGACAGCAATGGAAAGGATAGAGAGCTAAAAAAGAGGATTGAAGTTAACGACTATATGTCTTGTGCTGTTCGTGAGTGCTTTGCTTCATTTCAAAACATTATTAAGATTTTGGTTCAAGGTGGTCGCAAAAAAGAGTAAGTTTTATTACATTCTTATAATTTTGATTGAGAAATGGATATACATATTACATATTGATGCTTTGTTATATCATAATGCTTTATTTGTCCAAATGGCCTTTCTAGGGTTACAGAATATATATTAACTGAGGTTGACAAACATATAGAAGAAGGCAAGCTATTAACTGAATACAATATGGGTGGTCTTCCCAGCCTCTACGACCACTTCGTCAGGCTTATCAAGTACTTGGTATGTATTTGCAATATCATGGCAGTTGTTTTATGTGACTCGTTAATGGGATTTATGAAGTGTTCACACTAATTTAGTTTCATTTCTACAGTTAGAGAATAAGCAGACAGGCAGGGATCAGGTTGTGATTCTTTTCCAAGACATGTTGGAGGTTGTGACAAGAGACATAATGATGGAAGATCACATAAACAGGTGAAGCATTTTGATGTGATTGCTCCTGATTTTATACTAGTGACTTGATGCCATCTGGTGCTGGTTACATTTTTTCTTCAATAGCTTGGTAAATTTTATCCATGGTGGATCAGGACATGAGGGGATTGTCATGACCCGAACCCGTCCCTATGGGTTAAGGACATAACTGGCCAGTAATCACGAGATTACCTACGGCCTCAAACCAAACAAGACATAAATCATCAGAGTAAAGGGGCCAAACGGAAGCAGAATCAAAACTTTTGTCCATAGAGTTGTGCTTACATGGCACATCATAACAATCCATACATATACATGTTCATAACTCACATCAAAATATGTAATAACACGAAGTTCTATACATACAGGATCATGCGAGTCTAAGTTAGCCAATCAAAGCTACATACAACCGTAATCCAAAGTTCTCGCCAACATGACAAAATATAGCAAAATAGCAAAAGGGCAAAAACAAGTCTCGTG